TCCGGAATTTTCCGGACGCAGGTCCGGCCGGACATCATGCTCTGTCCGGGTCCGGGTAACCATGCCTCGTATACATCAGGTGCCCACATATGAAAAGGAACATCAGTTATTTTCCATAAAATACCTACAGCAATAAAAACAATTCCCATGAAAATACCACTCGATTGAGTTCCAAAAAAAGTCATTTCATAACCAGTCAAAACCGGCTAAGGAAAAGTCTCAGGTAGACAGTTTCTATGGGGCGTAGGCCTCCCAAAGGTTAACGGAGGCGTGCAAAGGTTCCCTCAGGCTGGACGGAAATCAGCCATTGAATGTGAAGGAAAAAAGGGAGCTTGACTGCAAGACTGAGTAGGCAGTGGCTTGGTCCCCCTGACGTCAGAAACCTCGGGGGTACCGGTAGCGACGTTTCACGACGGGTACCAGTAGTACAGCGTGGAAAACCGGGTGGGCCTCCGTACGGAATTTGTGACAAAAATTGGAAATAAACAGAATCGGCGCGGCGAATATTTCACGGTCAAAATGATTTTTATTTTTTTTTCTGAGATTTTTCCCTGAGAGATCAAGACCTAATCTTCGGACCCTCAAATTTTCAGACATTTTGATGATTTTTTCTGAGCACAAAAAATCGGCAAAGTTGCCGCTTGCAAAATGGCGGGATTGGACCCGTCGGCCTCCGTACAACCCGGCGCCTCCGTCCGGTCGCCGCCCCTCCGTACAACCCGGCCCTAACTCACAGGGACTAGGGGTTTTCGTTGGGAAATTATCCACCGGAGCCATAGCAAAAGCAAGTCTTTTTAGAGCTATTGTCACTGTCTATCGACCCGAACGCAAGTGATCTAACCATGGCCAAGATGAAGCTTGGGTCGGAAGACCGTAAAACCAGACTCCATCCTCAAGTGAGCACACATGGTTAACGGAGACCCCGACCAAGTCAGACAGAAAAGAAACTGCATTCGAATGAAAGGGTTCATGCCAGGTGTTGATTGGTAACAAATTAAAAGGAAATTGTAAGTTTAGGAATTCTGAAAACACATATGGGTATATTCCACCTGGATCCCAGAGACAAGCAAAGATGAGGTTTTTTCTTTTTTTGACTGTTTTCTTTGAATGGCAGGAGGGTCTTTTCTTGAATTTTTGCATGCAGAACATGAAATGAATCAGTAGTTTTTTGGGTCACAGACTTTTTCTTTTTCAATGTTTTATCATTTATGTAACCAACGGGGCTGCCTGGGTCACCTTGGTTGTCCGGGAGGCCTGGCCGGGCAAGAGCCAGGGAAGGTGCCTGCAAAAAAAAAAAAAAAAAAAAAAAAAAAAAAAAAACTATGTTGTGCAGAAAAGTAAACTGGACAACTTTTGCCTTAGGATCTCATCAAAATTCTTCACCAAATAAAAATAAAAAAATAAAAAATTGAAATTGACAAATTGTGTGTTCTTTTTTTTGGCCCACCCGCAGCAACTGGTCCCGAGCCACTCTGGTAACCTAATTTTTTATTTTTTTTTATTTTAATCTAATTTTTTACATTCGGTTACTTGAATTTATTTCCTTTTCAGGTCTGCATCATTCCCTTCCGTGGCGAGGCAGCAGAGGTTCTTCTTCCCCCATCCCGGTCGATCACCATGGCCAAGAAAAGACTTGACAGATTGCCATGTGGAGGTGGTTCCCCACTTGCTCATGGCCTCACAACGGTAATGCCTGCTGCCTTCCCTCCTCCTTCCGAGTCCCGACATCACCGTCTCACAGCATGCCATGTCAGCATGCTACGTGCGTAATTGATCCCCCCCCAAATAAAGCGATGTGTGCAAAATCTGCTTAGTACCCTAAACAGATGGTCATGCGCAGGGCATGCATGAAGGTGCCATGAACTGAGTCTTACCCCGAAAAGAGGGTTAATTTTTCAATTGGATATTAATATTTATGGCAAATTGTTCCCAGCGTGGCCTGTTTAATATAATATTTATGTCACTTCCGCTTTTTTTTGTTGGAGGGGGGAGCGGGGTGTGGAGAGGAGGGGGAGAAGGAAGGCACAATATTTTATTTTTTTTAATTGTGTCTGTGATGAGACGGTGACCTTTTTATTTCTTCTAAGATCTTGAGTCTGTGACAGGCGTATGATTTTCAGGCCGCACTTTTTTTTCTTTTTTTCTTTTTTTTTTTCGCACGCACTTGACAGATTCATGTTAAACTTTATTCATAGCTATCAGATGGAACATTCACACGTCAGCATGTAATACACATGAGACAGACAAATCCACAAAAAGCGAAAAAAACATGAAAATCCACAAAAAGCGTGCATAGAATTTTCAATGAAACAGAGAATCTCCAAAAGAAAAAAAACGAAACAAGAAAAAGCAAAGAAGACGGTCTGCCCGTAACTAAGGAAATTTTCTTTGGGCGGAGTAAAGCTGAGAGGATTTACTTTGCAGGCAGGTTTGAGAGCGACTTACTGAGTTACAGGGCCTCACTCCACTACACAACACTCTACATGCATTTGGACGCTTTCTGCTCCCGATTCGTTCAAAATGTTGGACTCATCCGAATGCACCTGGTCCAGAAAGCGCGCGAAGTTGCAAACACTGCAAATGCATCTAGAGTGTCGGGTAGTGGAGCGGGGCCCACAATTTATCAGAATGAATAGGGGGCGAGCAGGTGGTACATCCTTCCTACAAAGAAAGTGAGTTAACTGTTAACTTCAATTAAGTAATCAATGCTGTGTTCTCTCGGCCATAAGGGAGAGAAGCTTTGCGTGTGAGTATTTGATATAAGGACGTTGGACTAGCGATAAGGGGTTTCCTGACATCAAATACAAGGACACTTTTCTCTCGGCCATAAGGGGTTTCCAGCTTTGAAATGCAAATACACTTTTTTTTTTTTTTTTTTTTTTTTTTTTTTTTACAAACACACTTTTCTCTGTTTTCGTAATAGCGTTTTTAAATTCTAGCGAAGGGATCGTCAAGGTATTTATTTGACCCTACTTCTGCTCTGCTTGCTTGAAATACGTGTCATTGAAGTTAACCATGCTACAAATTTCTTGAACGTATCCGACCTCAAACTACAAGATAATAACATATTCCTTTTCAGTCTTTGCGGGCATGTCGAAGTGATGTGTGCTGCAATGCAAAACCGTTTCGATTTATCTCAAGTGCCATTCATGTAGTTTCTCTTTCTTTTCTTTTTTTCTTTTTCTTTTTTTTTCACAAAGCACAATGCCCCTTCTATTCTCAAGTGCCATTCATTAGTTTCTCTGTGCCACGTTTTTCTTTCCCTATTTTTCTGTGTCCATTTTTCAATATGGCTGTTCAACTTCGTTTGCACATGTCCAATGGTGACGGGATGGCGTGCTCCTCTCTCTCTCTCTCTCTCTCTCTCTCTCTCTCTCTCTCTCTCTCTCTCTCTCTCTCTCTCTCTCTCTTGCTTTTGAGCGTGCGAACTCGTGTTTCCTTTGCTTTTACGTGCATTTATTGCCCTGTTTCTCAGTCATGTTGATGAAGGTGTCCGTTGAATGCCCGTATTGGACAGGCTGTGCGCGTGGGAATGAATGCCCAATCCTCGGGCGATGTAGGGAGGGTGATGATTGTCGCAATCACAGACGGCCGAGCAAATGTTTCACTAAAGAGGTCACTGGGCGAAATCGAGTCCGTGGGACCTGATGCTCCCAAGCCAACTCAGAAGGAGCTCAAGGTCTGTTCTCCTTCTCTCTCTCTCTCTCTCTCTCTCTCTCTCTCTCTCTCTCTCTCTCTCTCTCTCTCTCT